GGTAAGAACCACTGAGTGTATATGCCAGGTAGGAACCACACATCTCATCTTCAATGCACCCTGGCCAAAACTGATAGTGAGGGTTAAGAATATGCCCTTGGCCTGGAAATACAGCTGGTAGAATGCCTGTCTAGCTTGCTCAAAGCCCTGGGCTCGATCTCCAGTATGAGAAAAGAAAAGGAAAAAAAAAATGTTCTCTCTTATCCATCATGCAATTGTCATACCTGAGCATAATCTAAGGTCTCAGTGGTACCTTCTCAGAACTTGACTCTTCCACAACAAGACAAAGCAAGTCCCCATTTCCTCAGCCCAACAGGGTCCTGCATAGCCCTTGCCACAAGCCTGGTTGGAAGCCAGAAGCCCAAGGTATTAGGACCAGATAAGTGTCTGAAGCCCCCATCCCTCATCACATCAGTGACAATATTGAAGAAGAGCCCAGCCTGGCCTCGCTAACTTCTCCACTCTTTGGAGGATTGGTGACTCCAGAACACATACCTCGTTTGACCTTGGAGGGCCTGAGGCCTTCAGCCTGGGCCAGGGCATCCCATGCCTCCCGCTCTCTCCAGCGCCGCAGCTGCTCCTCTCGCATCTTGTAGAAGAGGATGTGCTTCTGCACATCGCTGAGCTCGGCAAGGAGCTCAGGGTCAATGTACATGTCGTGCAGGATCTGCTGCAGCATGATGCTGCTGGGGACACACACACCAGAAAGGCAGCCAGTCAGGGGAGCTGGACCAAGCAGATCCCCAAGCCAGGAGGATGCCCTGGGGCCAAACTTTGTCCCTGGCTCCTCACTTTGGGGTCTCTCCAGGCATCTTTTCCCTGTGCAGCATCACTGCTCCATCTCAGCTCCCAGTCAGGAATGAACTCATCTTTGCCCAGGACAAAAACAGAGGGCAAGCCACAGGAATCAAAGAGGCAGGTGGGAATCTGGGAGGGGAAGCAGTGGCAGGGTGCAATCTAGCCCTCTGCTGCTCACTGATTAGTGCATCTCAGCAATGCCTGTGCTGTGGCTGTACCCGAGGTTCTGGAGCAATAGGAGGGTCCAGGCCTCCAGCTCAGCTGTGCATTATTACCCAGGCCCAGCCCTGCCTGGGTCGCTAGGTGTCGAGTGATCTGTTAGTGGAAGGTAACAATGACACCAGATGGATCAGTGACACTGCCCTGGCCAGCGAGAACTGATCCCTCCCCTGCAGATAAGAGGAGGAGGAAGGGGGGGAAAAGGCAGGGGAGGAGGAGGAGGAGGAGGAGGAGGAAGCCCTGCCTGGGTCGCTAGGTGTCGAGTGATCTGTTAGTGGAAGGTAACAATGACACCAGATGGATCAGTGACACTGCCCTGGCCAGCGAGAACTGATCCCTCCCCTGCAGATAAGAGGAGGAGGAAGGGGGGGAAAAGGCAGGGGAGGAGGAGGAGGAGGAGGAGGATTGGGGAGAGGAGGAGGGGAGGAGGAGGGGAGGAAAGCCGGTGAGATTCTACCCTGAGGATCGCCCTCCAGCCTTCTATATTCTGAACCCTCCTAAAGGAGGGAAGCACCCAAAGTCCAGGAGCTGCATTAGGAAGACTGGTGGCTAGACGCAGTGCTGACTTCATGCTCCAGTGGATTCATAAAACACAGGGTAATTTTCCTTGCATTGAGCTGTCAGCAGCATGGAAGAAGACCCGTGCTCCCCCTCAGTTAGTCATGAGTCATTAATTGCTACCGGTGAATGAGTTTTATTCTGATTTTCCTGATCTAATTCAGCAATGTTTTCAACTAAAGAGCGGGATATAGGTTTTTGGCTTCGCTAATGAAATACCTAATGAAGTTGCATTAGTGACAATTACCTATGGGACACCTAGAAGGGAAGGGCCAATCACAGGGCCCAGTTGATGCCAGTGCTAATGGCTCCTTTAGGGGGAAAGCACAGCCTTTCTGCTCATTTCCCTGATTGGCAATGATATTCTGAGTCATGGGCAGGAAGAAGGTCATTGACGAACCATTTGGCTGTCTCCTCTCCCTTCCCCCTCTTCCTCCTTCTCCTCCTCCTCCTCCTCTTTCCTGCCTGCTCCTAATTCTCCTTCCCCCCTCCTCTTTCTCCTTCATCTCTTTCTTCCATCTTCTTTTTCTTCCCCTTCCAATTGTCTCCACCTCTCATCTTGTCTTAGGGGTGCTGGGGTTACAGATGTACAGCATTACATCCAGCCTTTAAGTGATGTATTAGTTACTTTGCTGTCGCTGTGTTAAAACACCGTATCAAGCCAACTTGTAGAAAAAAGAATTTATTGGGCTTATGATTCCAGAGTGAAAAAGAGTTCGTTGTGGTGGGGAGACATGGCAGGAGGCAGCTGGAGCAGAAAGCAGAGAGCTCACATCTTCAAGCGGGCACAGGAATCCGAGAGAGAAACTGGAAATGGGAAATGAACTATCAAAGCCCTCCCCCAGTGGCCACACCTCCTAAAGCTTCCACAAACAGCTCCACTAACTGATCAAGTGTTCAAACATGTGAGGCACGGGGGTCATTTCCCATTCAAACTATCACATGTGGATGCCTGGGATCTGAATTTAGTCCCTCATGCTTGTGCAGCAAGAACTTTTCCCTCTGGGCCATCTCTCCAGCCCCATGCTGCATCATTTCTATTAACCTCCTTGGGTCTTTTTCTGGCTCTGTGACTGGGCATTCTTCCACATTTGAAGGTGAAAAATGCTTTCTTTAATCTCCTGCATGCCCCTTAATCTTTGTCTTTTGGAGTGCCTGGCTCGGGTCAGTGCTTTGAAAAACTGAGTATCCATCAGGGGCCTGCAAGGTGTCAAAGATACAAATTTTTTTTAAAAAATGGAAAGGAGGAGGAGGAGGAGTGGAGGAGGAGGTTATTGTTGCTGCTGATGGTGATGACATCCTTGGTGATGATGTCCTTATTCCTGCAGGTGTCTGGAGTTAGTTGATCAAAAAGAAAAACCACAAAGCACCCTAGTCTCTGAGCCTTCATCAGAAGCCTCCTAGTCAGGACCTTGGCTTCTAAGTGGAGGGAGCCCAACTCTGTTTGATGGAAAGGGTGGGGAGAAGCTGCTGTCACTGAGACCAAAGCCTCCCCTCTAAAAAGTACAGAGTGGTTCATGGGTGCTTTTATTTAGATGGAGAAAACTGGAGAAGGTAAGTGGCCTGCCTGGGGCTATCCTGCCAATAGCCAGGTTTCAAATTTGACATCCTGTTGACGGTTTTAAAATGTAACCCTACCAAGGGAAAACAAGCAAATAGAATTCTGCACTGTGAACTGGTTGCTTTGGTGACATTCAGGTCTCCTTCCCTGAGGACTGATGGTGGATGGAGCTACTGAGTAGCTTTGTAAGATTAACACAAAGGTAAGCAAAACTAAGCAGGTTCCCACAGGCTAAGCTGAGAATCAAAAAGGAGAGCTGCAGCCGGTAGTCCTCTCCCCAGGTCAGTCCCCTTGTCCCAGTGTGACCCAAGGCTGGGATCCACCACATAGGAACTCCCACCTGGAACAGAACTGTGCCCTTGATGGCCTGCCCTGCCTTGCCCACCTCAGCTTGTACCCACTGCTCCCATTGGAACCCCGGCTCCCGCCAGTGCCCCTCGGTGTCCGACAGTCTCCCCCAGCTTCCCTCAGTCTTTGACATAGTTATTATGACCTCCCAGTCCCAAACTGTGGCTGGCAGGGAGCTCAGAGTCCAGAGATGAGGTAAGGGCAAGAAGGCCACAAATTGGGGATCTGGCCTCTTTCTGCGCTCCCAAATTCCTTCAAGAACGGGACACGGGACAGAACAGTTTAGAGCAGCAGACTGAAGATTAGGTGGGCTGCCTAGAGCCCCGAAGTCCAGTACTTTGGAAGTGGTGGTGATGGGGGCGGGGGGCGGGCGGGGGCGGGCTACGGACGAGAGGACAGGACAGGACCAGATGATGGCACCACGTGGTGCCTCTGTGCGCTGCAAAGGTCCCAGGTCAGCAAGGCAGGAGGCCAAGCGACACCAAATCCGGGGACTTGACCCAGCCACGGACCCGCAGCCGCCCGCAGGTTGGGTAGGGTTTCTGGAACCACGCGAAGGGGACGGCTTCAGCCACGCTGGTGTCCACTGGGCCTGGGCCTGGAGCATCCCCTGGCGGCCGCACTCGGCACCCGCTCCGCTCCTGCAGAGCTGGAAACTGGATCTTGGAGACCTTTGGGCACCTCCGCGGCTGCAGGACCGACTGCAGTCCAGGCTCCACACCACCACCACCCCCGCAGGTGCAAGAGGACCTGGATCCCGCGGCGAGGGCACTGCAGCACCTTCCCGGCAGGCTGTATTTTGTTTTTATTTCTCAATGGCATTTGCCATGTATTTCATTTTGCAGGCTGACGCAGTTCCTTTCCGGGGGTGGGGTCGGGGGCAGGAGGTGCACGCAAGCAGGGATGTTGTGCAAGTGGCTGGAAACCACCTGGATGTCCCTCAGCGGGGTGGAGACCCAGTGTGAAACACCATTCCATGTCACAAAGAATGAACTCGATTGTTTGGGCCAGGGAAAACATCCAGAGCAGATGAAATAAAAGGTAAAATGCGGATACTGAGCACAGTGTGACTCTAAAAATTTGTTTGAACCCGAGAGGCTGCCAAGGGAGGGGAGAAAAATAAAATAAAATAGAAATTTTGTGTTTGGTTACCTCTGTGTCAACAAAGGAAAATATACAGAGGATTTATACACCTAATTATTTACCCCCAACTATTTGGTTTCTTCTTGGGGTGAAAGGATGGGTTAGATTCTTCTTCTGGGTTGTTTTATATGATGAATGAGCTCTTCATATATAACTCACATGTCTCAAACCAAATGCATTTCAACAGTCCTAAAATGTACTCTACAAACACATCCTTGGAAATAAGCCTCTAGGACAAGACAAGGCTCAGTGCCAGAAAGAGCACTGCAGGCAAAGCCAGGCCCCTCTACCTCTGAAGGTTAGGAGGTGGAAAGGGCTCTGAAAGGTTTCTAAAAGCAAGCCTTGTGGAGGAGGTGGTGGAGCAGGAGGCAAGAGGCAGCTGGCTGAGAGAGAGAGAGAGAGAGAGAGAGAGAGAGAGAGAGAGAGAGAGAAACATGGACTGCCAGGTAGGACAAATGAGGGGCCCCAGAATCTCTGTGTCCGTGTAAAATCTCCCCTTACTTTTTAGACAGGGTCTCACATGCTTCATGTATTTCATACTGGCCTAGAACTTTCTGTGTGGAGGATGACCTTGAGCTTCTGATCCTCCTGTGTCCAAGCACAGGGGTTTATAGGCTGCTACCTATAGGTTTATAGGTGCTACCACACCTACTTTTATGCAACCAGTGTTGGGGATTGAACCCAGGGCTTCAGTTTTGTACATGCTAAGCAAGCACTTACCCAATCTAACTACATACCCAGCACTCCTTTTAAAATTTAAACCAGAGCATGTTAGTTCTCTGATCAAAACCCAGTTACTAGAAGTCAAAACTCAAGTTCTCACAGGATCCACAAGATCCCCAGTGATCTGCATCCTTCCCCCATGGCCCCTCCCACCAGTCCCAATCCTACTGGCTGTAGCCTACTGGCTTCACCTGAGGTCAGTCTTCATTGCCTTGCTGCTCAGTGAATACCCCAGATACCTCCCTCCCTGGGGCCTCACACAAGCTTATCACTCTGCCCAGGACCCACTTTGACTAGGTCACCAAATTCCAGTCTTAACTCACACTTTTTGGTTCTCCCTTTGCAGTGCTGGGAGTCAAACCCAGGACTTTGCACTGTATGGGCTCCACTGGGGAGC